GTAAGTTGCTAATAAGGTATTATTACGTGGTCCTAATTCCCACTGGGGAGGAATAATCTCTCTACACAATTGCAGTGGGAAGTATTGCGGCTCGGCTTATCACTTTCATATAATCGATTGGTAAATTCAATGATTTTTTTTTACGAAATATAATGTTACTCATAGGCCATGTACGAGTGTCCAAGCGTTTGATCAAACGCAAAGGAAGACGATTACAATTAATTGCGCAATGTGGATTTGTCGTAGCATAGTAAAATACCTCTGCAAATATGTATGTGTGTGCAATGTGGTATTTTTATGATTTTAATAAATGCATCTGATTTGACTTAGTTTGAGATGAATAGTACAAGATTTGTTAGAATTTCATTATTTTAAAAATTCGAAACACCATTATTGGACTAGGCCTAAAAGTTTACAGCTAAAAAAAAAATTAATTTTTCTTTCAATTTAGCAGAACTTTCTCTTTTATTTGACACCCATATTGTTATTCTGCATTGAACTGAATTTTTTTAATCATTTTGGAATTTATGACATCCTTGAACTTTCAAAGTCCTTAAAAAAATCCTGACGTCAGAGAGAAAAACCAAAAACGCAGTTTTGGTATATTTTGGTCCCGAGTTTCGTTAATATACATATTCATTTTTGTGTGAGTTAAATTGATTGTTGCACGCTGTTAACTGGCGTTTAAAAGAAGGGTTTTGAAGGTATTGGAAATAATTTTTTTCCGCGCTTAATTGCTAAAACTGCTCAGAATTGACTTTCACAAAGCTACTGAAAAACTCGGACACGGTTGTAGTGGAATTATTATACTTATTACAAATTTTAAGCGTAAATGCTAGAAATGTAAACTACAGAGCACAATAAGGTTTAATCTGAAGATGGAACATTGCATTTAATAAAAAAATAATGTTGTTGCCTTTTCAGGTTCTTGCCTGCTTCTATTTCATCTTCAATACATTATAAAGGATAATTACAAACTAAAAAACAGTTTCTATTTATGTAAGTATTGTTAAAGCAATTGTAAAACTCAGTAATCAATTTTTAATGAATAACATGGAATAGCTGCCTTATTCGCCCGATTCAGACCGATTAGTTATTCCCCGGAATAACTATTCTGACTTTCTTATTACGCCTTATTTAGTTTCTTTCTATGCGCCATTAATAGACTTAATCTGACTCATTCTCCTCTATTCCGTGAATAATCTTATTCTGCCTTATTCCTCCATATTCGGAGTGTCAATAATATGGCCGTAAGTAACTCTTGCTTAACAGCGAAAAACTGATGATTATTTATTTTTGTTTAAAATTATGAAATGTGGCATCTCAGTCGAGAGAAATGCCAAATATGCGAAAAGTGCAAAGTGGAATAAGAAAAAAGCATATTCCCCCTTCCGGGGAAACTTAGTTGGTTCGCGCCAGCAGCGTATTTTTAAGAAGCCGAGAAGTTACCGATTTTGCGAAGTCTACGCCGTTCAATTATTGGCCAGTATCATACAAATATGATGCAATGTATGCAAATGCCATTTTTCAATAAAACTTTTACAATTTGTTCAATTTACTTTCACCACAAAATATGCAAATAAAAGCTTTACGACACAAAATGATGCACAAAAAATAACACTGATAAACAGTGGTTTGGTTAAACAAAATTAAGTGTTTCTTTTTATGTAGATACTACTACCTAACCGCATATGAACCTCATAGTTTTAGTTAGTTTTATTCAATCACCCTCAGTTTTCCTAAAAAATTGACTGAAGTGATTACGCGTATTTTGCATACCAAAGTGTGATTTTAACAAATTAACATTAAATTGCACTGCATCACGAATTTTAATATGATTTTTGTTCTCCCGACGCCACTATCCATTTTTTTTTGTGGAATTGCCCGCTGATTCCAAAAACCGAGTTAATTTCAGATACCCAGAATAATAATTATTTCATGGTGAAGTTTTAAAGAAATCATTAACATTTTCGTAAGAATTATAGAAGTCCTTTGATAATAATTTTGTAAGAGAAAATTTTTTTAAGTCATCGATAACTGTTATTTTAAGACTTATATAATAGAAGTCTTTTCATAATAATTATCAGCGAGATAAATATTTTTAAGTCTTCAAAGACTTTTATTTTGAGACTTATATTATAAAGTCTTTTGATAACATTGCGAAAAAACGTTGTGTATAGTCCCGAACGGGTCCGAAACCAAGCTCCAACTGCCCCCAAGCTATTCCCAACTAGTCACGAACTGGTTCCCAACTAATCCTGAAATGCACCTGAACAAGTCCCGTCTTTTAAGACTTACAAATATTTTTTTATCTCTCTGATATATATTATGAAAGGACTTTTTAAAATTAGTCCTTGAATAATAATTATAGATGACGCGAAAAATATTTTTCTTAATATAATGATTATTGATTGACTTTTATTCTTTTGTCTTATAAGGGTATTTTTTGTGATTGTGTGTAAATAATCTTGATAACAGGGTAGAAAAAACAGAAATTCCCAAAAATTAGCGATGCCAAAATAATATCATTTAGGGCCATAAATTAGAGACCTATTGGCTGATTAACAGTTTGAAGAAAAACCTTATCTGATCGAAAAATCAACATGGACCTGTTTTCGAAATGTTGTTCGTAATTTCCTTGGACACCACTTTAAAAGAACAAAAAAAGTTTTTAACTAGAGATAACAAAATGAAATGTGGTTTAAATTAAATTCAAAATCGCACTACTGATCTGGAAAACCGGTATACAGATCCATTACCTATGTACCAAAATTAAGGTTGGGTGTCTCGGCGTTCTTTTTTGTTTCATTTCAAAACTTGTGGTTTTAGCTTTAGTGTTATTATTCTTAGTACGATAACATACCTTGTGATTATCAGTTTTTAAACATTTCTTTGTAAGATTTGCCGGTTCTGTGTTGTCCGTCAAAATGGATTTCAAAGTTTTTCAAAATTATGTAGACAAATTTCCACCCTAGCCATTATCTCTTGCCAATATCTACATCGATTGTTAACGAGCATGGTCAATGTACAGATGGATATTTAACTCTGGCAAGCTTATGCGAAAATTGTATTCGAACAACAGCAATAAAATTATTGTATTGTTTTGCAAAATGCTTCAAATCCAGTGTTGCGAACCTCTGAGGGTATTCTGCCATGAAAAACAGCTTGATTGTAGGTCCCTTCGATTTGTATGGCAACATCGAGACGCATGCCACAAATCGGTGGAGCAGCTTGGCCAAACATTAACATATTGTGTAAATATGCGCCAATGTATGTATGTACATACAGACGGCTTGATGCTCATTATGTTTTTATCCGTATGCACGAATATCTGAATATACAAATAATAATAATAAAAAAAAGAGCCGCACTTTGCTAAGCAATTTCGCATGTCGCATTTGGCTCAAAGAGCCACGTTTGCCCACCGTTGATACATACTTAATTTTTAAAGCTTGCATGTTCTTAATTCCGATTTTAAGTTCGGAAATGCTAAGATCAAATAATTGGATTCCTTCTCTGGGTGTAAAGAAAAAGTGTTTGACCATTTTTTTGCATAAATCAATTCATAGGACTTACATCCAACTAATGGAAGTAATTTTGTTTTCATGATGAATTAACTAAAAACCTAGTGTTATACCTGATTTTATATTAATTGCGTTGAATCTGTACGATCCACAAGCAGTTAAATTTCCCTATATGAATTTTGAGTTACCTCACTTTAGATCAGAGGTGTGCGATATGTGTGGCGTAGAACAAATTTAAAATTTGTTTGTTGAGTTCTAAACATTTATTGATAAAAATTTTACAGTTTACACATAAAATGTTTAAAATTTGTTTAAAATTTTTTTTTTTTAATTTACGCATATAAAGAGAGGTAACCAGTTTCCTTTCCTAATGTGTGCAAAACTAAACACTGCCTGTTTACTTTTACTTATAAAATTTGTCACGTAGAGAAAAATTACACACAAAGGGTTTAAAATTGTGTAAATATATTTTATATATTTTAGAGATTTCATGTGTATATTTATGTGTATTTTTTAAACATCTTATATTCAAAATCAAATCTTGAACATCTTGTGCGTATATTTACACAGGTTTTGGTTGAAAAATAAACACTTTTCAGTAGTAGTTTTACATGCACTTTTTAGAGTGCGGGTACAGAACGCATTACTTTAACCTAGGCATGCCATTGGAGCTAAGCGAGAAAGTGAAAAATTTTGCCTTGAAGCGTGTATTGCAATGCGTTACTGCATCGATACAAAAAGTAAGCGCTTACTTAAGAATCAAAGTTCTTGCTGGGTATGTTCATATGTGCCTATGTGCGCCTGTGTACGCAGTTGTAAACAGTCGGCGTTTGCAGGTATCAAAAGTTTCTATTTCCACTTCAAAACAGCACAAGTCCCTAAATGATTGTTAAATTTATGTTTCAAATGAGAGTTTTAAATTTCCTACGTAATTTTTGAGCTAATTTTAGCCACATCCATTGGAGATACATAAATGTGCACTCACTTCTTGTAAGTTACATGTTTCTACATGTGTACGTTATTTCTTTGATTATTTACTCACCGTGTGATGATGGTTGATAAGGTGATGGTGATGATGATATTTAGTCGAATGATATGTTTGTTGATAGTAGGAGCATAGCTTGAAGAGATGAGACAAAGCTGGGAAGAGGAATAGCAGAAATTTGAGCAGTAACTTTTTAGCTGCGCCAACACCAATAATCAGCGGCAACAGCCAGAATAATTTGATTTTGATGATTTTTATAATGAGCAAGAGCGCCAGGAATGATAGCAATAATTTGCTGCGTATAAATTTTTCTGAAAATAAAATATTTGTTAATGTTATAAGTGTTTAGTTAGAATTGTTTAGTTAGAATTGTTTGTGAGCCAATTTCTACAAAAAATATTGCCGTTTCATTGCCCTTAGTATTTGTGCGTTGGCGGCACTGAGAAGGCAAACTTTTTTAGCAATTTGAAGCCTAACATCGTTACTTACGAATTTTCTTCATAATAATTTTCCCAGCCAAACGCGCCTCCACCTCCTGTTTCGGTATCAATTCCAGTTTTGCAATAATGCCATTGCCTTCAAATGAACGCGGTGAGATACGAAAAGTGGCACCATCGAACATCACCTCTGGCAACTTCACTTCCAGATCATGTGTCATGGCGAATTTAATGCTTTTGCCATAGAGCGCGTTGGTTACCTCTTCAATGGGTGTTTCAGATGTGTCGGTAACTGTAGAAGATCAAGAGAATGTTGATAACTGATTAACAATAAGAAAAGATGTCGATTAGTAAATTTTCTTTCTCTCTCTATTTCTACCAATTTGATGCTTCACAGAAAAATTATATTAAAATGCTGTTGCTTACGTATGTACATACATCAATCACACATTGCTCAAAGCAGCTTGACTAATGTATATACATTAGGCTTGCTAGTACTTAATAAATATCCTACTTCCTACGAACATTAAAAATCTGATAGTTTGTGAGTGAGTAATTCAGTGTGCATGTATGTTTCTTGCTACTTTATGGCTAATTGAATTTCGGCGAAATTTGGCACACAGATAGGCTATATGTAGCATGGATTAACATATAGGATATCGCTTGAAGAGAGTTGCCATCTTTTTCATACCCGAGCGCACTTGTGCCCAAGGGTATATTAAATTTGTTCACATAACGATTGCTTGTAACAGCCAAAACGAATCGGCATAGATATAGACAAATGTATACATGTGTAAATGCTCAGAATGAATAGAGAAGTCGATTAAGCGTGTCTGGCTGTCCGCTAACTAAATAATAAAAACGGACTGTAACCGCGCCCACTTCCCATATATCGTTAGTTTCGAAAAATGCAACCACTATCATATTTCAGTAAATATTGGATCCAAATTGTTTAAAGTTGGTATATGCATCAGAATTTTGGTAAAAACTAGTATTATTAGCAAATTTTAGGAAAATGGGTGTGCGCCCGCCCACTTATGATGAAATGCTGTATCTCAGTACAATCCTTACCCAATTCGTTCCGAGCCTTGCCTAGCGCCTGGCTAAGAAATCTATTGAAAATCTTTGAAATCGGGCAGTAACCACGCCCACCACCGGTATAACGGTAATTTACAGAAACACAAAAACTGCGATAAATCAGTAACTACTGAAGCTTATTGATTTAAAATCGATAATTGCAATAACCACTTAGCAGAAAATTAGACTATTATACATTTTTGGATAATGGGCGTGGTGCCGCCCCCTTATGAGCACATATGTGCGTCTCGGTAACCGATTTATAAATTTCTATAAAAATCGTTGCACTCAAAAACCTTAGTACAAGAAAGAAACTCGTTGAAAATTGTTCAAATCGGACTAAAATTACATCCACTTTCCGTATAACGGTAAATTTCAGACATCTGAAAACTCCGATATTTCAATAACTGAGGACGTTATTTACTCCAAGTTTATAGTTACAAAAATCTTTGAGCAGTAAATAAGACTGCTATAAACTATTAGGAATTGGGCCTGCCACCACCCACTTTATGACTACAAGGTGTCTCTCGGTAACCACTTTATAGATTTCTGCCAAACTTGGTTCAATTATTTCATTAAGTCTAACAGCCGGTTTCACCAGCAATTTAAGTTCAAAATGATTTTTCATTTTCTTTCAATTTCCATATGAAATTCAAAAAATTAAAATCATTTTTCACTTAAATTGCTTTGGTGAAAGTTGCCGTCTCCTCAAATAGCTAAATTCTATTTTAAATAATAAATTCAACAAAATTTTTTTAGTATGGTTTTGTCCTCGAATGAGATGTTAAAAGAGGCTTAGTAAGAACAATTTTTTGAGGAGAGTACCACCTATTTAAATAAAGAACTACAATATGGATGGAAAGTAATGAGGTTTAAGAAAGCTTAATTTCGAAAATATTTTGAAAAATGTTGCCATCTTTTGTTCAATTTCACCCAAATTGAGAATCGTGCAAAATTTCTACCGACATTTTTTTCTATGGCCGAGTTGCGAAGGGTTCTGGTCTTCAGCCGTTCTAACCTAAACTAATAATTTTTACATACCAAACCGTTTTTGCTTTTCACCACTACTTTTGCATTGGCCGACGCGGAAGTGGTTATCAGGCGCCGTGAAGGAAGCCAAACATTTGCTAGTTATTTAATAAAATAAATATGTAACTAATAGCTCATCGCTTTTCTGTTTATTAAATTATTTTCGACACCACTATCAGCTTTCTAATCCATTGAACCACTTAGGTACGTGCAACGCTTTCTGTACTTCAGCTGTGTAACGCTCGAAAAACATTTTCAAATATTTGATTTCTAAGCTTAAGGTATTTAAGCACTCCTACTTGGCATTAAACCTTTCATCTTAATGCTTCCTACTTCTAAACTATTTGATATTTGTGTTCATTTTAGGTAAGCAGCAATCAAACTATCTAACGAAGCACTTTAATAGAGTGCCAATTAGTCAGTTGGCAAATTGAGTGGAATGGGCGACTTAGTATAGATTAGATTTGCGGCCAAACTCTTAGATTGGATTTTGCTAAATATACAGCGACATTGATGTTTGTATGTATGTAGTTAGTTACAATAAGTGTGTTTATGCTAGAAAATGAAATTTGTAGCTGCGAGAGCGTAGGATTTCACATACATACGTACATGACTCAATACATACATACATACATATGTGTAAAAGTAAAAGCGTCGGTTCTTAATGGCAAACGCGGATGGCGAAAAGTAAAAGCCAAAGTTCGAAGGAAATTTACAACTGGCGTCATTAAAATGCCGCCCAATTACGGAAGCTGTGTGGAAAAAGTTAAGCGTGTATTTTTGTGACTAAGAAAGAAAAGTAAAAGTACTATATACATATTTACATTTCAACTAAATTTTGGTGAGCTTTAACTGAAATTAACAGTGCAGATTTGTTTTTGTTTTTAATTATACTCTAGTACTGAGAAGAGAGTTTTGAGTAGATATGTGTATAAAGATATGTTTTTGTGGCACGGTAAGTGGCCACTGATACTTTCCAACGAATTAGAATCTGACCTACATATCGACCGCTGTTTGTGATTTTATCGTAAGCGAAAAAAGCTACATTTCACAGGAGATGTGGCAATCCTATTCAAAAACATAAAGCCTTGTTGCACACCTAATGGACAAGCAACCAACGCACAGGAGGCAACACTATTAAAAAAAAATATTACCTTACTGCACATATGGAGGCCAAGTCCGTTCATTCGACAACTCATTTTTTAGTTTAACGAACAGCCCATATGTTATAATTTTCGGATACGCGGCAACCCTTTTCGAAAAAATAAAACTTATATGAGGACCCCATCTGTTAATTTTAATGAACTGTGTGTCATTAATAAAATGGCCTTCACGTATTATATTTAAGGCAGTCATTTTTGAATAGGTGCCAACCCCATTAAAAAAGGCTTATTGCACATCCGTAAACCACATCTTTTTACTTGATACCTCATTTTTTAGTCCAATGAACAGTGAAAACCATATTGTTTTTAGCAAGGTGGCAACCCTATTCAAAAAAATAATAAATTATTGCACAATTAGAGGCCAATCCTTTACATTTCACATCTCAGTTTTTGTAATTTAAAGAACAAGTCTTTTTTTTGGAGAGTTGGCAACTCTATAGAAACTCTAAGTACTAAAGATAATACTCCTATATATACAGACTATATTAACCAAAATCTCTCGTGTGGCATGCGCCTTGATGTTGTCACACAAAGCGGAGGGACCTACAGTTTTACGACGATTCCGAACGGCAATTGTATTTTTATGAGAAGCCGTTTTTCATGGCAGAAATGCATTCGGAAGTTTGCAATTGCCTGCCGAGGGGCGACCGCTATTAGAAAATATAATCTGGACATTTAAAAACAAAGGAGGATTAATACTTTAAGGATTGTTTGAAAAAACTGAATTTAAAGTTAATTAAATATAAACACTGCCGATCAGCAGAATAAGCTCAACATATTTTCAACTTTGCCTTTTGATGCATCTACTACACTGAGGGGAAAAAATATTAAAATCAAATAGAAACGTAATTGATCTTACTATAAACGTCAACGAAAGTACTGTATATTGGTTAATATACAATTCAATTACGCGCATTTTAAAATTACCGCGTTCATTCTAAAACAGCATCCGTGAAGTGAATAATCAAGATAAAAACCGAAAAAAATTACCCTGACCCTCTCTGCATATCAACAAATTCTGGAAAGCATCTTTGCGCACTCAGCCACAGCCAGACAAATAAATGGGCTTTCAAATTTGCATGTTTTTTTTCAAGTTCACTATTCTTGCCAAATTTTTTAAGGTCAAGGGGTAATTGTGAACCAATGGCAATATTTTTTCATGAAAAGTAATTTCTTTTAGTTTCGTATCAAAATGTTGCTTCTGTCGAAAGCGCTACGATTAATTTACATGCTGTGTTAAAAGAGCACACTGTGTGCGGTTGAGTTAGCTCGAATATCCTTTTTTACAGTCGAGAAATGTAATTCTGATATTTTCAAATACCATTTTCAAATATTCCCTGCCGATCTAGTTTTCCTTTGGCATACTGAATAATTGTTTAACACACCTGTTGCCTCGAATTCAGCTACCAAACGTTGAAGAGTTGACCGTGAAGGCCCACCGCGTGTGGAGTAACATGGGCGTGGCAAATGGAATTTTTTCTGCAACTTGTGGTGTGTGTAAAATTCCACACCGGCTTCGAACGGTAAAGGATTTTTATGGGAATTTTTTTATGGCAGAATTAGACCCGAAGGTCTATTATCAAATTGGAACAATAAATAAATAAGTAAATAAAGCCGAAAATATCTACATATATCTACATATGTACATACATATACATACAGTGGTTGCAGTGCTCACGTGCAGAACGATAAGCGAAAATCTTAGCGCTCTTTATTTTAGTTTTTATTCACTCGTTCGCTAATTACTTTAGACACTTTAATAATAGAAGAGACAAAAAATCAAAGCTGCTCATCTGCTATTATCCAATGAATTCTTTTAATCCGGGTCGAATTCACTTTCATGCAAACATAATCACTTTCGTTTTCATCGAAAATTCACATTCAGTACGTCAGTATATTTTATGCATACCTCTCCGTAATTTATGCTAATATCAATAGACTGTTTGTTGTTGTACACCACACATACATACCCAGTGGGAATTAGGAGCACGTAATAATACCTTATTAGCAACTTACTCTTCAC